CGAGAAATAGCTGTTGCGTGTAACCTAACCTCTCTCTGTCCGAAGAGACAATGGAAACGAGTTGATATTTTTCGAGTCAATTGTATTCGCTGTTGCGTGCGCATCTTACGCCAATTCGACTAATAAATTGAAATAAAATTTGATTTATACGGAGGATTTTTCAAAAATATAAAATATCGTAATGAGAGCAAAATTATAAATTATTCGAGTTTTAATGTTTTATTATTCATAAAGAAGAATATTTGAAGAATTGCACGATCGAAAATTTGATTGGGTTAATTTCACGAGGTCGATGATATTTTTCATCGGGAAAATAAATTACGCTAACCCATTACATTCTATATACATGAAAATTTAATTTATGGCCACTGGAAAAAACTTTTATACGTTTGCTTTTTTTTTTTTAAATAAATTTTAAACACGCGATCCATGGAATAATTCTTCCTTGAAATAATTTCACACCAATTACGAGCCATTGATAATAAGTTATCGAATATATCGAAATCAAGATTGACAGTTAGAAATAAAATTGATTAATATACGAATTTTTTGGAATCACTTTTTTTAACCTCGAAAAATTCGAGAGATTGGTTTAATAACGATTAAATAATTTATCCTTTTATTCCGGGGATAGCTAATACGTTTAAACGAATCGTCATTACACATTCACGCTCGACATAACCTCAAAAATAATACGCGCTCTCTCATCCGCGTGAAAATTATTTGACGCGGAAATGTATACCCGAAATGAAATCTCCCCTCCACCGTTCCGCGGTCGTTAATCCAATGATTATTTTCGCTTTGTTATTCATCGTGGTTGCACTCGATGAAAACCGAGATACCGTTTTTGTTCTATCTATTCTACAATTAATCGTCGAATCGAGAGCACTCGTTGTTCAGATGGCGCGCTATCGCGCGTGAAAAGGACAGGAGAGGAAAAGGACAGTAACAACACCGCGAAGATAAAAATTACAGGTTATGTCGCGGGAATAAAGAAGTTTCAACGGCGGCGGCGGTGGTGGTGGCGTCGCAATTTTTTGCGACATATTTCATCTTGGAACTCGCGACTGCGTTAATTACGAAAAAAACTTTCAAAAAATAAACGAACACAAATTTCAACCATGGAAAAATACAGTCTTTTCCACCGCTTCTTTCCTTTCTTTCAGAGATATATATACTTCTCTCTCTCTCTCTCTCTCTCTCTCTGCTGGAATAGATTTCGAAACGAATTTTCGAAATGAAATAAAATACGTTCAACACGTTTATATAAACACGTCGAGTTAATAAATAAGTTTGGTTCGCTCAACAGAAATTTGAAAATTGGAGAGAACGATTCAATAAATAAATTATTCTCGTTCGAACGAAGTAAAACGAGGCAATAAAATTTTTGCAATGACGATCGCGTTCGTTTTCGAGACACGAATGACGAATGTTCTCAATACACTTTTGATGCCATCTCTTCGCTTTTTCCCCAAGATTTCACATTCCAAGTTTTCGCGACTTTTTCTTCTCATCTGTCTTCGATCTTCACGCCCCCTTTCAACTACGAAAAGAACAACGAAGCATTTCCGTGGCTATGGTGGGGGGAGATGCGCGTTTGAATAGCGGAATAAATGTAAACGGGTCGTTTACGATATAAAGAGAAGAATTTCGCCGGGAAGAATGTCATCGTTTTAAGCGATGCACGAAGACGAATGAAAATCCACGAGAGAATTTTTGGCGAAACAGGCCGTGGAGGGAATTCGGTTATATTCGCTTCACATGTATCCGAGAATCGCTTTGAACGGGGTGCCTTCGCAAACATGGCGGAGTTGTATGATAATTTTTATCCAGGCAGACGAGCGAAAGTCACGAGGTCGAAGATAAAACTTCGGTCAAAAAGGGAGGAAAGTCATTTTTCATCGAATCAAAGAGGGTTATTTATATTAATTCGGGGATAAAAACGGGGGGAGAAATCGTATTAAAAAATATTATCGTCGAAGAATACACGATCAGAATGTTTGGAGTGTTAGGTAGGTAAATATTGGCAGGAATATATCTCTGTAAAAAGAAAGAATTGATGGAAGATAGTCGTTGGCCTTTTCCAAATTTCTCTGCGCTCACAAGAATTGGATGAATACGTTTATGCGAATATTAGATATGACGTAGAAAGAGCATTCCTCAGTGATGAACGTAGATCCTCTCATATTTTAACTCAAAAGAAATTGGATGCACACCGTGCACATTTATCTGGATTTGCTATTTATATATATATATATATATATAACATTTTCATACTTTCAAGGTGCATTACACAGAAATCAGCAAATTAGAGGGAAGGGATATAGAAGTAAAGATTCTTGATTCTTGAAGTAGCCCCTCAAAAATTAAAATCAAATGGATTTTTACAATTTAATGCTTTCCAAGTGTCGGATTAAAATGAAGCAGTGGCAGGCAAAGCGATGACGAAGACGAAGACGTCCAAGAAGGTAGTCTTAATGGGAGCGGAGAGATGGCGAGATTGAATCTCGAAGAAGAAGAAGAAGAGATCCTTACATCCTTTTCCTCGCTTCTACATTTCCCTGAAAATAAAGCGGAACAGGGATCACTTTGACGTTCCCTCGCCGGGACGCGAAAAGATTTTGTCGTGGAACCAACTTCAGCCACTTGGCCAGAGAGGCAATTCGTATACGTAAATATACATTACATTTTATTCATTCTCTCGTCGCAATGAAATTGAATACCTGCTTCCGCTCGCGTCTCCGCCATTCCGTCCTTCGATCTGCCTCTCTCCCTCTTCTTTTCCCCCTCTTTCTCTCGCCCACAGTCCTCGCATTTCGGTTGTGCAAGCAGGCAACCAGCCAGCCAGTCAGAACTTCTCGTTCCACGGGAACAGACGTTCCCCTCCCCAAATTATTATTATTCCAACCACCACGTCCAATTATATCTCTGTGAAACTAATCTGTAAGTTTCTTTGTTAAATTTCGTGCTCGCAACTGGTAACAGGATTTTAAAAGCATAACTCGCCTGCCTTCCCGTTCAGTCACGCGAGCCAACCAAGTTGCTTGATGGAACACCGGGGAGGGGGGAGAGAAGGAAGGAGGGCGCGCGAAACCGTGGCTGGGTTTATTGCTCCTTCGTTACGCCGATGGGAATATTAAGGACTGCCATCTTCCAGGATTTATATATACGTATACGTGTATAACAAGATTGCACTTAACGAGCGACATTCATCATGCCATACACAGAGAGAGAATGGAATCGATGCCGCGCGTTTTCCTAAATGTGAATTAATGCGTCTGGATTAATGCGTGTTTCGTCCTCCCTGTTTTGCGTGTACGCAAAATATCGGTTCATAATTGTTGATATTTTTTTTTGATCGTCCGTACGCCAGAGTCTACTATTGCGAACTCTTTAGGAAAAAGAGTAAAATTACGAAGAAAGGATCGTGTATATTTCTGTTAAAATTTTTAATTTTCAATTGATTCCGCCTTTCTCGATCACCCTAAAAATTGATCTATCAATTTCTCTTGAAATTTTTAATTCATTGAAAAAAATTTTCCCTACGTGTACGCGAGCACGCGAAAAGGTTTAATTGCTTTTATCTTATTTCGTGACGGAGATGGATGGAAAAAAAGGGGGGAAAATCGAAATTTATTATTATTACACCAAGGAGGCGTTCTGCCACCATTTTTGGATCGCTGATAAACGGTGGAACGCGTTGCATAAGGTTGGTACACGTGAGAGATACGCGTTTCCTTGGCTTTACGTGAAAGGCAACCGCCGCCGCTAGATGTTCCGCCGGCAAACTTTCACCCAGTAATACCATTCTCCCGTGCATGCGCGTCTTGCACGATTCTCACGAATATTTGCCATACACTCCGGCCCGTTTGCAAACCATATTTATTATGCGTTCGCTGGTCGGAATACCAATGTATCGTAAATTATACCCCTCCCTATGTAGTTGTTTTTCGACTTTATACCTTGTTTCATCTTCCACTCCTCTTCTTTCCTTTCGTCTCGTCGACGAAATTAAAAATTATCTTTCGTATGTAGTAATTTTTTTTTTTTTTTTACGATAAAAATCATTTGACTTTTGCAAACTTTTGAAATGACCGATTTTACGAATTTTCTGCCTAAAACCGTGCGAAAATAAATATACAATTGTGCAACGTTTGTCGCTCATCGATTTTGAACTGGATGAATATTACGCTGAAATACTTCGACATTAATTTTTTCGATTGTATGTTATTGAAAGAGAAATATTTTCTTTTTTTTTTTGAAATTCGACGTGAAAAAAAAAAGTGACAAATTGACAAATATAATTATAAAATTATAAGGGAATTAAATTGATCGAATTTATTTTAAATAATAAATTACAAACACATCGATAATCTCTGATTTAAAAAAATTTATCAAACATGTTAATTTATCAAACATCATTGCCATTTATACAAGATTCCAAGTCTTCAGGACTTGTCTTACACACGAAGAACGAGAGTTGGAATGGAGGACAATCGCCAACAGAAATTAAACTAACCTGGCTAATAATGGTGACACTGGAGGAACACGAGATTAAAGGCAATCTCTGCCCGTTTACAAGTTACAGAAGAACAATCCTGTTCCGTTAGAGATCCTTTTTAATTTTGCGTCTCACTCACGAAAGATCACGTCCAACCTCGAAAGCATCTGACAGCTTTCTAAAGCGAGCGCGAAGCTAGTTTCACGATTAATCAAAATTAAAAGGCCATTCTCGAGATATAAATAAAAGAACTGAATAGTCTTGAAAACGTCAAAGTGCTATTGAAATGGCTAAATTTTTTTTTTCTTATTCGATTGGTGGTTCAAACGCAGGAACAAATTTTATGAAAGATAAATAGAAAGAGATTGAAGGAAATTCCGAATTTGTAAATGATGTCTGTCGAGGAAAAATTATTTTTAACGATTCTCACGAAATTTTCATCGATTCGGCAAAGATAATTGGGCAATTCTGGTTTTTGTGATCTGAAAATGAAGACGAGTCGAATTTTCAAAATTGTATTGTACTTAAATTATATTGTAATTACGTTGCTTTCTTTTTTATAATTATATACACATTGCAATCATTCTTAAAAAAAGATTCTTACATAAACATTATCTGTCTCGGATAACAATATCCTCCATTTCTAACTCGTGTATTTTCTAATTTACGTCTTTTTTCATTTTCCAGCGCTCTAAAATTGAGGCACAGTATTTCAAACTTACATTTAAGTTGTAGACAAATGACACGTTCAAAGTTAAAAATTTCAGAATTCGGTGTGCTTGGCGAGTACGTGATATCCGTTGAAGAAGAACGTGCAAAAGAGGAGCGCGGCGATAAGAAAGTGGAAAAGTAGTCGGAAGATTTTTATGAGGCTGATATTACCCTCGTCCACGCAATACTTTTTGGCGGCTGCCGCAGAGCAGAGAGCGTAACTCTCGACGTCGATTTCCGTGGAAACCGGAAATATAACTTGGTCCTCCGTGGCGAGACGTTGTTGAACCAGATACACGCGATTCCTCTCCACTGACCACACTCTTGATGAAATTGACTCAAGGGATCGAAGCGCATCACGGACTCTTTGATACTCCACGAGAAATCTGCGAAGAAGCTTATTTTTAGTAAGATTTTACTCCTCCTTTTCTCCTTTTCATCAAATCCTATCCATTACTCTTATTTCTAGTTTAAATTCCGATCCGTTTTCGTAAAATTTTCTTTCATTTATCATTCACATTTCAATAAATTTTTAATCTAACTTTTTGCATTACAATTGTTTCCCTCTATCTAATTACCGTACGTTATTAAATGATCAATTAATTAATTTAATAACGTATAAACATATTGTCATTCTCAGAAGCTTGGAAAATAAAAAGATAATTTCCAAGGGGAAAGGAAAATATTTTTACTCCTTAATCTTCGTTAATGCTGCCTACACAATGGGAAAATTCATGTCTCGCCCATTTGTCTCCGCTTCCACGTGCGCTGTGTATTATGCGCAGGTTATAATTAGTCAAAAGTATATTGTTCCATTGTTTAATCGATTAGCGCAATTAGATGCAGCAGCGCGCTATAATTTCCTCCGAGCTGATAAACGGTTGCAGACGTCGCGTTCACGGCAACCATGTGCAACACGTCCCTAAATTGTTCATCCGTGTAGATCGATGGGATGCACTCGATTTCGCTCGATTTCGGCCATCCGACGTAATTGCGAAAGTTCGTTTACCGGATGCCGTTTCACTTCTCTCGAGTAATAAAGACGTAGCATAAGTTCTCGCGAGCAACGCAGCCTCGAGACATTAACTTGGAAACGAATTTACGATTTTCCGATGAGCCGCGAAATCGAATTCGCGGCAAAATATTTGCTCGAAACTTTGCATTCGGTGCTGTTCGACAGTTGACTGCGGATCGAGTGGTAGACAATCGCGGGCAATGTTCGGCAAGTCTCGGCTAACATCGGCAGGTCTCGGCTACTACCAGGCTATACATAAGAAGATTCAGTCGAGTCTAGAGGTCTCTCAGATCCTCACTTCGCTAGTTTTGCTGACGTTAATTTTCGCTTTATCGTTTCCAGGGGTAAAATGAAAAGTACTAGCTTAAAGTATCAAGTTTCAATTTGCCATTTTGCTAATTTCGCAATTCTTAGCTTTGCCTTCAATATTATCACCAAGTAACCGTTTAGTAGATGATAAAATAGCACGATGTAAAAAGTACAATAAACCAAAAATCGAAACCTCTTTCTTCGCTAATTCTGTAGGCTTAACTTTTATTTTCAACATTATTTCACGGATAATAATGCGTAATAGAAAGTATAATAGACTTAATGGAACCTACTTTACAAGTTTCATAAACTTTAACTTTGTTTTCCGTATTGCTCATGGCCATTTGCTGGCAACAGAAAATGTAATAGATCTAATATAGGGCTCACTTTATTAGCGTTAGTTTTGCTCTCAGCATAACCATAAGCAATATGCAATGTAATAAGCTTATTAAGGTCTAAAATTCCAAAGTTTTATTCTAATAGTTCCACTACCCAGTAGTAGTTTTATCCTCATCATTGATCGATAGTAAACTAAAATTTAAAGTTAAAAGTACCCACTCCGCTAATTTCACGTAACTCATTAATTGCAAGCACGGGCAACGGGCAACGTAATATGTAATTATAGATTTCAAATTTTAAGTCCTCATCCCGTTAGTTTTGCTTCAGTATCGCTTATGGAAAATATCCATGGAAAATAACAGATTGAACAATAATGTTCTTTACGTCAATATCCAAAATTTTCCGACCTCTACCAATTTTTTTGTTAATACAATTCTAAACTTTTAAATACGTATCTATTATTAACACAAGAGTTAAAATTTATAATATATTGCGACTTATCAAAATGACGAATGAAATTTCTACAACGGATGAAATGCAGAACAAATGAAGGTGATAAATGTTTAACTCTCAAAGTGGATGAAAACTTCTGAAAGGGGCAAGTATAATTAAAGAAATATTTTTCTTTCCACTTACCTTAACTCAAAGCGCAATTTTTTTGCAATTTTATAATGTCGCAAGCAGCGTGATTACTGTAATTAAGGTCAAAGGGAGTGCAAGTGTACTAAATCACCGACATCTTTCCTATCCTTCCTAAAGAAAGAAGGCATTGAAAGCGGGGCCAAGATTATTTACTCGTTCATTAAATAATTAAGATTTACCCGTTTAGATTTAAACATACATATTCAAACTGAAACAAGCTTCAAAGAAACATGAGGCCAATTGAAATTAACAGTTTCAAACTAACGTACTACATGCACGTGTAAACAGCAGCATTATTGTGTCTCGCTGAATCTCGTTCTCATTACGCTACACTAATTCACTTTATTTTATAATGTCTATGGCATACTGCGATCTTATAACGGTAATATTAAAGCCTTTATTATTGTCAAGTATGAAACCATGCGACTCGGTTATTAATATTGCCGTTGTTTACGCAAGAATGAATTTAATTATGAATGTATTAACTCTCGAGCCACTGGTTTCGCAAAAATCCGAGTTACTTCCCTCCAAACCACGTCCGTTTTATCATAAAAATGTTGATACCCTCTAAAAATACCTTTTTATTAGAACAATATATCCGTTTCATATTTATTGCCAAAACTTCTATTTCGCACAACGATGCCCTTCGCTAAAAACTTCTTTCAACTTTTCCCACTCTTCCGACGAACTAAAAAAGCAAGTCATATTAATCGAATTGTTCTAAAAATATTATTATCAGAGTTAAGAATTAATCATTAATAATAACAGTAAGTAATGAATTGACAATGTCAAAAAAAAAATAAACAGAAAATCGTACATTCTTCTCGAATCGGTTTACTCGACACCGATACTACTACTCTAGAATTCACAAAACGGTTGAGGTTAAGTTGCTCGACGAAGGAGATCCAAGACTTGCCCAAGAAGGAGACACATCGACGAAAGATTTTCGGGTAAAGTTTGATCACGCGGCGTTGCAGCAGGAACCGATCCGTGCCCGGCAAACGGCGGTGCAATAGTAAAAGTAAAAGTTATCCGGAACTACGATTTAGCTACGAATACGAAAGTAAACAGGTTCGCTCACAGGCGGCGCCGTGTTCGAGTCGCGACGTTGAGAGAGAGGGGGGGGAAGGAGAAGTGGAGGGGAGAGAGGAAGTGAAAAAGGCAGTCGAGGAAAGAAGGCGAAAAGGAAAACAGTGGGAGAGGAAACTCGTTTCTCCCTCGCGGGGGAGGAGGAGGGGGGAGGGGGGAGAGAGAGAAACTTGCGAACTCCGTACTCTGATTGCTTTTAAAAATCGCGAGTTTGCCCCGGCAACGAGGAAACTTTCCGAAAATCTTGACAGCTTTCATTGAAATGCGTTTCTTTAACCGGGCCACCGGCGTGATTCCAACTTTTTCTTCCGAATGCAGAGGAAGGAAACCGGCGGCGCGACCCGACCCGACCGAGTTTGCACGATCTTCTCTGTTCGATTCGATCCGCGCCCGTGTAAATAAGGAAATATCGTTGATACAAGTCTTACTTACTTGTCGTAAAATTTATACGATTAATAGTTGTAATACATACATACATATTTCTCGGTTTGAGAAATTTCAAGACGATAAAATTTCAAAATAAAACTTCTATGTTATATATAAATAAATATGGAAGAAGAAGATATTGAAAACTTTTTGAATTGATTGTATGCGCGATTACCTTTCTTTTTTGGCTATTATTATCGGAGATCTTTCAAAACCACGAGTATGTTTGATAAACCTTGTACCTTTTTTGGAACGATAATTGTGGATATTTCCAGATATCGTTATACCTTTTCTTTGCCCCGACTAGTCCGAGAATCGTGTCGCAGAGTGTGGATGGCAACCATTCAAAGAGCACCACCAGAGTCCAATGCAGCGTTACTATAGATGTCATGCCACGGAAGCCGAAAGTCGGATATGTAAACTTTCGGTTGGCTCGCTTAGATTTCTTAATCAGGTCGCTCCATGTGCATCCTATCGGGATCGCGTTGTATATCACTGGACCTCGTGTATCTTTTCTATGACAGTCAAAACATAGAAATATTATTAATTCTATTCTTGATTGTGTTTAGTCAATTCTATTTTTATTACAGTCGTTCGTACAAGTTACAAAAAATTAATTCGTTTATTTTTTTTTTTTTTTTTATTTAAAATTTCTTTTCGATAAAAGTGTAATTACGCGTAAAGAGCATAATTTTTTTTTTTTCAACGGAATATTACCTCAAAGGAAGAAAGTGAGAACGCTGGAGAATTTCAGTTTTTCCGTTTTAAATATAAAACTTTGTAACCGATACGATAAAATAAAATTTTAAATCGTTAATTTTTAATGAAAAATATTCCCGGATGAAATCGTATTTAAAATTGAAAAAAAAAAAAAATAATTACTTCACACAAAACTCATTATACACGTATAAACTTTTCGAACAAAATCAGAATCGATAAGAATCGCGTCGGAATACCTTTTGTTTCTGATGTAAAATATAGTATTTTTATAATTGATTATAAATTCTTGAGTTAATTGTACGTGATAAAAATGTATTAAAAAGAAATAAATAGGTAAATAGATGCATTAACAGTGGCAGGGATGCATTATATATGCGAAATATAATTCAACTCCGTGAACGATCCACCTCGATACCAACCGTTCAATCCGTTTGACGTCATTCCAGTCTGTGAAGCTCAAAGCATTTTCCAGGGTAAGATTAAAGGAAATAACTTCTCCTGTACCCTCGTAAACCCGACATACTGATTATAATATATACTATATACACGCATATATAAATATAGACCCTCAAAACTTTACAACTTTGACCAACCATTTTTATTGAAATCCGACTTGATTGCCAACTTTTAAAAATACCTTGCCCGTCATTCGCTCTTTTTCATCTTTTTTCGCTTAAATCAAATCCTCGTTCTCCCGACCCATCCTATAGGCTAAATAATATTTTTGTATACCGAATTTGTGTTCGAACCTACCTTACCTTACATCTCAACAGCTCTTCAGAAGATGAAATATCCGATCGATATAATATCGATCTTTGGAATGATTGTACATAAAAGGACGAGTCGTGTTCCGTGCAGCGATCAAACACGAGAGAATTATCAAAAGATTTTTCGGTAAATAGAACGAACATTTTTTGCAGCTGAAGCTCCGACTTATTTAAATTAAATGTTGATTTATTCGCGTTTTATATACACAAGTGAAGAAAAATAAAGAAGCATGAATGTTAAAACGCTAAAAGTTTGCGAGAATTGGATGCTCGAGAAGAGATCGGGTCGGTTCGGCTCAGATCGTGTGAACTCGACTTCGGTCGGATCTGCTCGGGTCGAATCGGCTCGAATCGGATCTCTGAAGTATCTCATAGTTCGAGAACATCGGGATTCTCGAGAATTTCGGCATTCTTGAAGATGTCAAGATTCTCCAGGATTTTGAAGATGCTGAATAATATATCGGAATTATTCGTTCACAAATTAAAACAAGAGTTTTCAAATTTTCAGACATTTTAATTTTCACATTTTCGATTCGAATGATTACCACTGAAAGTTGTCCAAATTGCACTTAGTATATCGGTAGTAGGATGATATTTTTCTATATTTGCGTCCAATACCATTGGTAAGCTCATAAACATGCTTCATACTTCATTAGTTGCAAAATTGTGTCGTGGCAACTAGATAATCCGCGAATATCTACTCATTTCGGTGTATGTATAATTTCTGTCCATTTAAATATTAGATTTACGCGAATATAGGTATTTAAACCGGTAAATCGTCATAATACGAGTTTCCTCTGCTATTACTCGATACACCAAACATTGGCCGCGTAAACTGGCTCTGCTTGCCTTTTGCCCCGCTCAAAAGAGATTTGAATGTTCTTTTGAAACGAAACCACCGTTCATTTCGCGTAAACTTTAATCGCCTACATTTTATAGCTCCACCACCGAAAAAGGCAACAGGCTATGGATCCACACAGAGCCGTGGTTTACGCGCACCGCGGTTCGATTGTTTCTCGTGTTATTACATTGGTTTATTGGATACCGTTTACTACCGTTTTGTTTTTCGCAAAGCTACCGCGCAAATTTAAATTTCCCTTTTGCACACCGTTTTTATGCATCATTCATCTATTTTGTTACTTTTCTTTGATTCTGTTTCAATTTTCCTTGCCGTTAACTGTTAATTTCTCCGACAATAAGAAGAGAAATTATTAAATTATTTTGTAATTAGTTTAAAGTAAGTCGAGAAAACGGATGTTTTCGAGTATATCGTTATTTGATGTCCATTCGCGTGTTTAATTAACCGCAAGTTTAATGTCCGGCAAAGCTTCTTCGATCGAGCTGCTTTCACAGCGAGAAATTAAAACATAATTTATTTGCATTCATACTCGGTATAAATCAAGTCCAACGTTATCTCGCAAATAAAAGTAATAAAAAATTCCAAACATTTTGTATCCTTTTCTAAACTATCTCCATTCTTCTAAATCCACTATCATCCAGACTCCTCATATATATTTCCTCGCCAACGATTAAGACGATATATTCCGATCGACCATAACAGATAATTTCGACAATCGAATAAATCTGCTCGATCCCTACCCGACACCGTTTCATCAAACCAGAGCGACGAAAAGCGACAAGATGGAAAGGATGGTACTCACGAGGTGGCTCGTTCCCAAGCAACAGTGATCAAGGTGTTGACCGCCAGATCGATCGGAATAATTTCCGCTTGAAGGCTCGGATTGCCGAGGACGTGGCCCGCTCCCGCTATCAAAGCTGTCGATCCTTTCAGCGTGTCCACGAATCCGGGCATCGGCTCGCGGAGTGCGGGCCCGACCAACGGAACCCGCACCAGCGCCACGGGTCCTCGGTCGCCCTCCCCACCCTCCCCGCCCTCCTCGGCCACTCGGTCACCGCTCGCCCGCTCGAAGATGCTCGTCGCCACTACCACAGCTTGGACACGCGACGATCGTTTCGAGAGTCGAAATATCTCGTCGCACGGGCCACCGGCGTGGAACACCACGCTCACGTTTCCCAACAGCTCCCTGTCCTCCTTGCTCGTGCCGAATTCGTCGTACATCAAATTACCCTCCAACGCTTTCACTCGCGAAAGAGCGTTCGGATCCTCTTGTCTCAGCCTCTCGAATCTGTAACGAGAAATTGGTGGACTAAATTGGATCCCAGATTTTTATAATAACAAGATGGCGGAAGTAGGTGGAAGTAGATTTTTCTTAATGTTTTCTTTTTCTTTTTCTTTTTTTAAATTTGAATTTTTATGAAACGAAAGTTGAACGGAGATTTGCATCATATTCCTCGAATATTGAGTTTATATAATGCGAGTTATTTGTTTTGAACGATTTAAATATTTATTCAATTTAGGTATCGCGTTTCAAAATTGTTATATAAGCCACTTTATTTTCACTTTTTATTAGAAATCTTCTGTTCGAGATACACGTACTCGATCCACGTACCGTGGCCAATCTTTCGCAACTACGAAGACTCTTGCATAAACTTTATTATCTTATTACACGATAATTGATCTATTATCGCGCCAATTTCTTCTCGATACACTCTTATTCCTTCGTGAATCGAAAACAGGTAAATACATATATCCGCGCGTAATTACGTATTTTATTTTTATTATCTTAGCAAGTGAATCCACAAGTGAATGGAAGCGTGACTGAAACGAATAATTTTCAGACGTGCAATAACAACCGGTTTCGCGCAGTTAATACGAAGCGAAGAAAACGTGTTAACGAAAGTGAATTTCTCCTCGGTCGAATTTTTTTCTCGCGCGTATTTACCTTCGTAATTATGCATTTGCTTCGCAATACATTTATTTAATGTATCCGTAATTTAAAGAGTTTTTTAAGAGCAAAGGGAGATAATAAATTTATATATAAAATTGAGGATTCAATTATTACATATCCAGGTAATCAGATGAGATTGATACATCCGTCTCAAATTTTCACTCTTTTCATTCGTAATTATCGAGTAAATTTCTTCTTTTTTTTTTTTTTTTTTTTCTAATGTTCGTTTCGTGATTCGAGAAATCTAATCAGATTTTTCATCTTTACGTCTCATTCGCAATATTATTCGATAATATCGAACTCGAGTGAACGGAACAAATCGAACAATGATCATGCGCCATAGCCAACAATGCGCAACGAGAGACTAATCCGTCACTCTGTCTAATGGGACGTTAATTAGAATGGAAGACTACAATGGCTAACGAATATGTACAGCTAATGATGATAACGTACAACAATATCAGGCGAATAAAAATAAGCCCAATTAAATCGTGAATTGATATACACGAATGTTGCGTGACGACGAATCGCGTTTGCAAAAAGAGTGCAAACGATATATTGAAATGCGATGAAAGATAATCTCGATTTCCAATATGTTTCGAACGACGAGGGAAAAGTGTTCTCACAGTGATGAAAAAAAAAAGAATTCTTTCCTGTTTACAATTTTAATGTCTGCTACGATGAAAAAAAAGAAGGATATAATATTTTCTGATAAAAAAGAAAAAAGATATTCCTTTCTTTCGTTCTAATTCTAATATTCCTCTACGGTGGAGGAAAGATACACTCGAATTCCTGATTCTTCTTTCACTCTTGATATTCTGTCTTCGTTCAACCCATCTGTTACAATTCTAATATCTTTTTTAACGAGAAAAATAAAAGATACTACCTTTACTATGGCGAAGGAAAGATATTCTTGATTCTTCTTCTCTCATCGATTCTAATATCTTTTACACTCTCGATTATTGTGAAGAAAGAATGATACTCTGTCGTTTTTTCCACTCATCCATATTGCGATTGTAATATCTTTTACTTTGACATTATCTCATTATGACAGAAAGAATGATATTCTTGATTCCGATTCGTCTTTCCATCTCTTGTAATATCTCTTACAACGAAAAGAAAAGAAAAGATACCTTCTATCATCTAACCTAACCTGACGAAAGATAACGACAATAAAAAAATAGATCTCTTTACGAAAAAGAAACACTCTCGATTATCTTACCGTGGCGAAACAAAGATATTCTTGATTCCAACGAATCTACCTAACCTAACCTGACGAAAGATATTCCACTCGTCAAATATCTTTTACGATGAACGGAAAAAAAAAAAAAAAAAAAAAAAAAAGATACCCTCGATTCTAATATCTTTCACAATAAAAGCAACGAAAAAAATATTTATGAAAAAGAGGCACCCTTTCGATTATGCAGAAAGAAAGATTTATTCTTGATTCCATCTGTTGTAATATCTTTTACGATGAAAAGAAAAAAAAAAGATATCATTTTACTTAACCTAATCTGACGAAAGATATTCACTCGTCAAGTATCTTTTACGATGAAAAAAAAAAAAAGATATCCTCGATTCTGATATCGTCAATTCAAATATCTTTAACGACAATGAAAAAAAGACACTCTTGATCACCTCATGGCGAGAAGAAAAAAAGATACCTTCTATCATCTTACCTAACCTAACCTGACGAAAGGTATTCACTCGATTCTAATATCTTTTACGATAATAAAGACTAATCTAAAACAAAATAGACCTCGCTACGAGAAAGAGTCGATTACCTTACCGTGGCGAAAGAAAGATATTCTTGATTCTGTCGTCTTTGGTGAATCCGTGGCGGGAACGAACGATCGCGTATACCTTCACGCGAGGGAACGAGCGAAGGATCTTCTCGAGCAACGCTCGTCCCACGTCGCTCGTCGCTCCTGTAAGGAGAAGCTCGCGATCCGCGTACCAGTCGCGCAGAGCCATGCTCGTTAACTGACCGATCGACCGATGGAAAGCGACCGTTGCATTTATTTTAACCGTCGCGCCGCTCGTCCCGCCATCTCTTCGCTCCTGCATTTTCGACCTCCTCGCTCTAAGAGATCGCGAATCTTAGAAAATTTAACGCTTAACGAAAAATGACGGTGGAAAAAATTGTGATATCGTCAATGAGAATGTATGAGTTTCTCATTAATACTGTTTCTTTCCTTTCTATCGCCATTATCGTTAGTAAAAAATTGATCGAAATTTTCGAACGATAAATTGCTGACATTTATTTCGCTCGTCGAGACTGAAACTTTGAGAAATTCGAAAACAATCGATCGAATTTTTCCTTTTTCCTTTTTTACAATTTTAACTAAAATCGTAAACGCACGTCTAAATCGATTCGTTCTGATCCCTTTTTTTTTTTTCGAAAATTCGACGATGAATTTCGCCCGTGGTTTATTGGAAAACAAGCTCGACGGATATAGTATCGGCTGGAAAGTTCGCAAGCAACAAAGTGAAAGTGGTGAAATTCGCGAGCGAACGAAAACAATAAATTCACGGAAGCGAGTAGGAGAGCGGAGAAATTAAAGGAACTCTGGAGGGTAAAGTTCTATTTCGACCAATTTGCCCGTCAATTTGCCCGTCTTAATGGGTATTTACGAGCTGTTGACTGGCAGAGAAACGGGGAATTTATTTATCGATAAAATTAATTGACCACCTCTCCCATCCTCGCCCCCTCGAAACTTCATTTTAACGACGAAACTTTGTCATCGGCCGGGAAAAATTGTTTCCCGATAATTTCCAACTCCTTTCATGTTTAATCTATAGAGGAGTTAAATATCGAGGGATCGTGGATATAGTCGCGTCTTTTCGTTCGTAGAACTGGAATTTCAAAGATAGAAAAAGAAAAATAATAATAATAATAATAATAATAGTGTAAACGGAATTAACAAAATTGTCGATAAGCGAAATTGTCGATGTATCTTGCATCGATTTGCAACGTGACGTCGAAAGAGAAGAACCAGCGTCACCGAGCCGAGGAATTTGAGAAAGCAGCGACAGAAAAGGAACTGATTAAGCAATCACTCTATATAATATTCGTCACTTGTTATTCGTTTCAGTAAAATTTCGATCAAATTTTTATATTCGTTCCTTGGCCAGAAGAGATCAAAATTAATTATTTGAAACGGAGGGCAATGTTTCCCCGAATTTGCATTCCCTCCGTTTATTGGTTAAGTTGAAGATGTTTGCGTTAAGATGGCCTCCTTGTAACACGATACGTCATTGTCCTTGTTGTGTATCGCGCTCGGACCGAACGGCAAACGAGGAAGGGGGAGCAGTCAGTCTCCTTGATCCTCCTTGCACAGACGTCGTGCTCCTTGGCAAACGTTGGCTACATCTCCATGCAAATGAGAGCGATGCGCGGCAAAATTGCCACCAACAGCATCGAGTTTGCTTTTGCCAAATAGCTGGCTCCGTCATTGTTGAGAAAGAACATGGTTGAACGTGACACGCGTTTATTCGTAACGTTAGCGAATTCGCCAAGATGACGGTTAGATCGAATCCGTTACACTTTCGCCTCGCTAGAAATTCGAATATCGGATGGAATAATGGGAAAGACGAAAATTTAAAGAAATTAATTATTAGTAGTTAATTTTTAAAAGTGTGTATATAGTACGTGGATTTATTTGGAAAGGCACCTTGAAATATAAATATGGGACGGCAATATTTACTTGGCAATGACCTTGAAACTCACGGCTCAGAAGTACACACACGCAAATCGTGATACACTTGGTGACAAAAGTTGAGCTAACCATCCTTTGAGATGAATAATGAAGAAATATAGGATAAAGGAATTTAATTCAGTTGAAGCTATTTTTCAATTCGATGAGAATTTTTATACGATTAACACAATTTGTTTCAACAAATTCCATCACACTCGCCATGATGAATTTAACTTTCAACTATACGCTGTATTATACTCTAACACTCTTTGTGGGAATTTGATTTATTAGGATCGAACGAGCGGAGAGATGAACACGAGATGATTTGAATAACAGGTTGGTTTGGATAATAGGGTTTTACAGGCTCTCCGTTGCACAAACAATTCCTCTCCGCCGAACGATAGAGCCGATAGACAGCCGATAGAAATCGAGATCGAGCGGTATTTGCTTGTTCGCCCGAAACCGGAGGCGCGAGTCCTTCCGTGTAAACACGGAGAAAGATGGAAGGATGGAAGAGGGGAGAGAGAGAGAGAGAGAGAGAGAGAGAGAGAGA